GCCTTTCATGGCAGCAAATTTGTTTTTGCTATAATAAAAAAAAAAATACAGTATTAACAACACTTTAAATATCTGAAGGAAAAAAACAAACCTTAAACTATCACTAATAACAATTTTAGCCTCTGTCTTTTGCAGCATTAAATATAATATTAAGAAAAACTTTACAGATGTTGTCCTTTAAAGTTCTACCTGTGGTCAAGACGTTTAGGTCTCAAATGGACCTTTGCAGATACAATATGTGTCAGATGTACTGTAATGGTTTTAAGTTTAGCACAGAAGAACATATGACCCATTTTCACATTTTCAAGATAATTTTGATCACTGCAGATCTCATTCGTTGCATTTTTCCAGCTGAACTTTTAAAGTATTGAACTGCTCACGCATCAGGGAAGTTTTGACTAATCAACTTTTTTGTGCAGTCACCTGTTTTTTTTAAATTATTCTCTTCATCATAATTGATTATAATTACACTCAGAAATAATAATTTGAAGAAATGTCAAGAAAACATATTTTTGATAAATTACCCAGATTTTAGCTCTAGAAACAAATAATCTGTAAAAAATGTATCTTATTTATTGTACTGGTTTCCAAAAGCATTTCAGCTGACCTTTGTATACTTGCAATATGTGAAAAGTTTTAATTACAACTTTTGCCATTGATGTAACTGTTTGTAATTTGTTGTTCTGTTCTACAAATAGGTTAAAGCCGTATAATAATTTCCCTATATAGCGATTTTACATAATCAGCTCTCTTATGGTTTTGTTTATGTCAGAGCAGTGCACATTAATAACATATGAACACAAAATAAACTTTGAGTTTGTGCCGTTCTGTCATTTTGTCCATGTCTGTTCTTAATTTAGGCCAAACTACACTACAGTCATGGAAAAAAAGTATTAGCCCACCCTTTTTTCTTCAACTCATTGTTTATTTTAATGTCAGACATGGTTGGCTTGGACAAATAGAGTGATTAAATATAAAACTTTTACTCAAACTCTGTTTTGTTTTTTAAAATAACGCTTCAACAGCTATGGGATTTTTCTTGCAAAAACTGCTTTAGCCACTTTGTGTTTTCTGTCTGATTTTAAAGGTAAACTGTTTGTTAGCAGCTATATTGTGCTCTAGAACAATAATATAAAGCAGTAGCATGAACTCAGAAAAGAAAATGTTAGAAATACTGGATATTTTTTGAAGAGAAAACAATCCTAGAAATATGTTTGAGGTATTTATATAAGAGCTTTCTTCATATTTTACATCACATGTGCGTAAACACTTTATTCTTGTTCCTTAAAAAATATACAGAATCCTTTTTTTTACTATTACTGGTAAACTGTATAATTGTTTCTCTTTATCGTGAAGTCTGGAAATAGTCTTCACCTAAATTTGTTAATATCTACAGACGTTGCAATAAATATAAAAATAAGAGATAATTATACAAATCTGACTGATTCATCAAGTATTAAGATTTAAAATACATTTTCTAAAATTCTGTTGTAGATAATTGTTTAATGGTATTTTTTTTATTGCCAAGCTATACGCACAACTCCACTACTTCCTGAACTTAAGGCAGTTATTTTGTTTCCTCTCTTTTTCTCCTGGATGAACTGATAAATCCAGGTGTGCCTGACCTCAGTAACCATGATCAGACACATCTGGATTAATCAGTTCATCCAGTAATGAGAAAAAGGAACCAAAAGAACCTCCTTAATTTAAGGAAGTAGTGGAGTTGTGCATGGAGCCTATGTTTATAGCAATTGTTATGCATGGTGGGGCAGGGTGTAGTTTGAGGCACGGTTGTATTCAGTAAAAAGGTTCTGGGTTCCATTCCCAGCTTTGGGTCTTTCTGCATGGAGTTTGCATGTTCTCCCTGTGTATGCATGGGTTCCCTCTGGATACTCCTTCCACAGTCCAAAAACATGACTGATAGGTTAATCGGCTTCCCAAATTGTCCTTAGGTGTGAGTGAGTATGCATGGCTGTATGTCTCGGTGACAGACTGTCCGCTTGTCCAGGGTGTACCCCACTAAGGGCGCTTGACTGAGGGGGGGCCCAAAGAAGAGAAGATTCGTCCCACTATATTTTTCAATAAAAAAATAAAGCATGAATATATTGCCAGTCCCCTTCCCATGAAATTGCAAGAAATTGTTTGGGCCTCAGGTCCTGCATCACATCAGGTGTCCAATCTCTCACCGGCGTGTCTGTCAATTATATTGACAATGTAAATGATAATCTCCAGTGCATCTTTATAGCAGTTTTTTTTAATATATATATAAATTTTATTTTAAATTTTCAAGGTTCCGAAGATACTGATAAACAAACAGAAAGAACAGATAGAATCTAGATGCACACGTCATACAGTCAACGATTGGTGTACATACATAACAATGTACACATAGTCACATACATGAGAATATATACACCCATTAAGTGGCGACTGAGGAGAGAGTCCATGGAAAAGTTTGTTCAGCTTAGTTTAGTCTGTGAAAAGTGTTCCAGGAAGGGATTCCAGTATAATGAAAAAAAGTTTTAATAGATCCTTTATGAAATCTTTCCATCTGAATTATGGACATCATGTCCATCACCCAAAGGCAAAATGAAGGGGGAACCGATGACTTCAGCATTAGCCTCTTGGCAACAATCAATCTCAGTTCTAATGATTGCAGCATTGTAGCGGGTATAGTTCCCTGTATCCGTGGGCATCCAAAAATTCAAAGTCCTGGTTCAGGCTGATGGGAGTATGCCTTGGAATATCAATCAAACACTTTAAACCAGAGGCGTAGCCAGAAAATTGTTGTAAGGGTGGCCAGGCAATTATCAATGTACACTGAGGGGTGGCCGAAAGCGGAAAGGCACCAGAACCTCAGGGTCAACTACACTGTTCTAACAGGAAAATTAAAGAGCAAAACTTGCATATTTTCTAAATAAAGACAAATTACTACTCCTACAGCCTTTGCTAACAAATAAATATTTAAACATCCGTGCTTTGTAAATAAAAGGCCTAGTGGACAAAATTCTTTCAGTTTTGAGTTCTGGGGTGTAAATCTTTTCCATTGTCATTACTTACCTCCTTGTACCAATAAACATTCTGCATGAAATTTATATTTACAAGCACTAATATCTACATAAATTAATTATTTGATAAGTTTTTATTATATTGTTATTTATCTATGATTTCACTGTAGACTCCTAGATGACTTGCAGAGACCTATAATTTTCTCTTTACCCCATATAACACAAAATCTAGTTCTGAAAAGAGCATGAATTCCATACTTATCATTTTTGATGTTAGTATATTGATGTGTATAATTAACCACTAAAATAAAAATATTTTGAATATTCCACTTGAGAGTATTACTGCTATCACCATCTGTATTAGAGGGGGAAAAATGCCTCCCCTGGCCCCCCATCTAGCTCCGCCCCTACCAGAGACCCGTTAAAGAAGGACGACACCAAAAAGCATGAGATAGTGTACCTTCAGAAATGTTGCACCTTTCATGGATTGGGGAGACAGAGGGATAAATAATCTAGTGTTTATAGCAGTTTTATAGCTTGTGTAAATTCTTTTTTTTTTTTTTTTTTTTTTTTTTTTTTTTTTTTTTTTTTTTTTGAGTGGGGTGGCAATATCACTGTCTTTCATGGGGCCCCAAATTCCTGGCAGCGCCCCTGAACGGGAGAAGATCACACGCTCGAACATAATTTGTTCACACTTTTATTTTGAAAGGATGAAGCGGAAGACTTCAACCCGGAAGTGAGTGATTGACAGCCGCCGAACAAAACATCTGCTTTCGGCAGAAGCGGAGGGTTGACATTGGAGTAGCAGCACGGACTCAACCGGGATAAGTTAAACTCCCCTCTAAACTGGCTACATAGCGTTAATGAAATATTTAGGGGCGCGATTTGAGATTCTTTGTCCATAAATGTGTTTGTTGTTTTCTTTCTAGCTGCTGTCATTGCGTCTGAATGTTGCAAATCTTTTGTTTTTCTAAGATAAGATGGAGCCCTAGTTACTTTCAGGTTAGCCTGAGCTTTGAAACAACAAAAAACATATGTGACAAGTGATTTTCAAGGGGATTATTTCCCAGCCGCTGGTTCAAATGCCTCTTCTGGAAAAGTCCAAAGCAAGAGGGACAAATAGGTAAACAATAGAGCCACATTTGCAAGTTGGAGATGTAAACCAGTCCAGTCATTTCTCATTTTCTTCTTAATAATTCAGGCCACAGTTAGACTGGAGGTTTATCCAGAGGTTCTGCAGCATCCAGAAGGTTCTGTTCCCATCATGGAGCAGTCAAAGTGTTCTGATGTTTGGGACGCTGCTGGGTGTCACACTGACAGGTAGTTATGAAACCATGTGAGTAACAGCAGACAGAAACAGGAAACTGATTGCAATCAGATTACACTGACCATGAAATGGCTGAAACATCAACTTCTTTACAGACAAAAAACTGCACGAAAAGCAAAAATTGCAGGAAAATATATTAAATTCCTTTGTTGCATTTTAGCTTAGGATTTAGCTGTTTAATGAATTCCTGTCTGACCTGTCTTTTAAGTTTGCAATTTGCTAACACCTCTTTTTTTTCTACCATCAGAGCAGCTGATCATTTACCAAGTGGGCGTCCTCCCCAGTCAATTCTACAATGTGCTCGCAGACAAAAACTATTCTGGCTTCAGGAGTCTGGTCGGAACAGCCATGGTGCTCATTTTACTCAACTCTACAGTAAGTTGATGTAATAGTGAGAGGTGATTGAAGCCTGCTATCACTCCGATCAGTGACTAATTTAACTAAAAGGTCACAGAGATTGATTTTGAACATTGTTACAGCCTGAAATCTGGCCTCTGATCTGAGTCGGCTGTTTGTTTCCTTATCTTTTACTGATTTTTAGTTTGATTATCCACTTAAAGCAGCTTTCTGGAGAAATATTTATGTTTATCATCTTATTAATACAAGTTAAACTAATTGACCACTATTTGCTTAAATTAAATTATAACATAGGGCTGAAAGAATTAATCTTGATTAATCGATTATGGAACTAATCGTCAATTATTTTATTAATCAATTAATCTTTAAATGGAGTATGGAGACTGTAAAACATGCCTTTAGCTGACAGAGAAACCCACTTAGAGCAGTAATTATATAAACATGTAGAAAAATATGTAAACGTTCTGCATTTAAGATTAAAAAAACTTTTTCATCTGTCAATATGCTCTGTCCAGAACTCCTGAAGTGGAAACATTTTAGTTTCACCTGGTTTAATTTAGTGAAAAATCTTCTTTTATTCAATTATTCATCGATTAAATGAAATAATAATTAAAAGATTAATTGACTTGCAAAAAAAATTCTTATTTGAAGTAAGTCCTAATAACATATAAAATTTGCACTGTGATACTATTTTTTTTCACTTCAAGTACTTCATTCCTTGGGTTTTTATTTGTTTTATTGTTATGCTGTCTTGTTATGCTGCCTTTAAAAGCTCAACAGATGGACATTTTTAATTATCATCTCTCCTCTAATTTTTTTCAGCTCAAAAGTATTGACCAGTACATTTGCAATCAAATGTATGTGAGCTGGAGGACGACCCTGACTGAGAGCCTTCATTCGGCCTACTTCCAGGGCAGAGTCTATTACATACTAAATGTGCTCCGGGAGGATATAGATAACCCGTAAACAAAAACATTTTCTTTTTGCATATCTAGTAGAGCATGCATAAACAAATATACATATGCTTTGGTTATTTTATGTTTGTCCTTTGTTCCTGTATATCTACCAGAGACCAGCGTATCAGTCAGGATGTGGAGAGGTTTTGTAAGCAGATGAGCACCATGGCCAGTCGTTTAATTGTCTCACCGTTCACAATTTCCTACTACACTTACCAGTGCTTTAACAGGTCAGTGTGCTGGAAGACAAAGCATTCAAGCTACCGTGCATTTTTCAGACTTACTCTGAAGCTTAAGCGTTGTTATATGAACAGCTTTTCAATGCTGAATGCAGTTAAAGCTGTTTTTATTTGAATGATATGAATAAATAAGAATACCACAATGATGTTGAAGTCGTAAAACTAATGAAGCCTTTCAGAAACAAGAAGATCCTCTAACCCTCCTGAAGTTTTATTTATTTGCTTTACAAGATGTTTCCTCCAGGAACTAGAAGCTTAAAAATGTCTTACAATTTGGAAAAACTTATTTTATTATTTACTAAATTTACTTTACGGCTTCCACTGGTTACCTTTTCTCTGTTTAGTTCGACTCTAAACCAGGAAGTGGTCCTTTCCTAACAGGCAAACAGGAAAAGTGTTCTCTTATTTATGATACACATTGTGAGAAATTTTTAGTTGCATTTAAGTTTTGGAAAATGTGTTTAAAAATAACTTTTCTTTGTTTTTGCAGCACCGGTTGGATTGGTCCCGTGAGTATCTTTGGATATTTTGTCGTTGGAACCATTGCCAATAAAATCCTTATGGGGCCTATTGTTTCAACCCTGTTTGAGCAGGAGAAACTGGAGGGAGACTTCAGGTAACCTTTGCACACAGTGTTTCAACTGACAATTGCGTATAAGGCTCTTCTCAGTGTTCATTGTAGAGGAAGCTGGTCATTTGTTTAAAGGAAGTATCTGTGGACTTTGGTGCAGTGCCCTTTTCCTTCTAAATAACATGAGACATGCATTTGCTATTTTTTTTTTTTTTTTTGTGCACGGTAACAAATTCTGAATTATAAAACTTGAATTAGAGCTATAAATTCCTGCAGTGATGAGAGATGTACTGAAACGAATGTTCTAATGTATCTGCAGATTCAAGCATATGCAAATCCGTGTCAACGCCGAGTCTGCTGCTTTTTACAGGTGAGTCATCCCAGCCTCCAGTCATCAACAGCATCTTCTTATCTCAATTTTGTTAATTTCTTAGCTTAGCTTCACAGTTGGTATTTTATGTAATAAAAAAGATTATGACCCTGGAGTCAGGTATATGTTGAATTAATGTCGTTTGGAAATCAATTCTTAAGATTTTAGACTAAATTCACTTCGATCAGATTGGATCGGCCTGGTTTATGAGGCCAGCATTTGCTTATTTAATCTTTTTATATATAGTTTTATAGTTTGATTCATCATCAAACCTTCTGTATTAAACTCAAAACATTTTTTAAGGGTTAGCACTTTATTGTATTAAACCATGTGATTAATCATCAGGTAAGCTCAAAAATCAAATTAAGAGATGCTTTTATTCGTGCAATTGCAGATTATAAAAAAGGGTTGAAAATGCAATTAAAAGGCTGCTCAAAGAATGGACACATGGTATTAAATAGTAGATCAATACATTAAAATTATGATTTTATCAACACGGTTGCAATATAAACTGTAGAATGTGATTTTCTGTCAACAATAAGGACACTTGGTTAAGCTAATAAAGGTAATAAGACTCTATGCATTCATTTGACTTATTGTCACCAGCCTGAATGCTTGGACTGACCCACACAGCCAGTGTTGGAAAAATAAGACAAAAAGTGGACAGCATGGTTGGCATATGGTCTGATGACATCATTTCCTTTGTGTCATGTGACTCTGGGCATCAGGATTGTGGGACACGTAACTCTCATTTAACATTTGCAACAGACAGAATTCAGTAAAAAAAAAAAAATCCACTAATTCTTGGAAAGAGATCCCCTTTCTCTCTGTTTTTTCTCTCCTTTTTTAGATGATTTGTTGTGTTTTATTACAGGGAAATCATGCTTGGTTATTACTTGTGTTTGCTGTAAGCTTAAGAATCTAAGATGAGATCCAGGTTATCATCTGGCATCAGCCAGACTACCACAAACTATGTAATCCTTTGGGTTTAACTGCTTAAACTAAGCCAGTCGCTCCTCATCAGACATTTCATGCTCAGGCATCATCACACTCAGTTGCTATCACTTGTGGGTCACTGTTCATACTAAAATGGTTTCAGAGCTGGTAAAGTGGAGCACATGAGAACCGACCGAAGGCTGCAGGCCCTGCTGCAGACCCAGAAGAGCCTCATCAACAAGGAACTCTGGCTTTATAGTAAGAAAATCAACTATGAACTCAGATTAACCTTTCATTATTTTAAACCTGTCGACTTATCTGAGACTCTTCTCGTCACAGTCGGCGTAAACACCTTTGATTACCTTGGAGGATTCCTCAGCTATATTATAATCGCCATTCCCATCTTCACCGGTATTTATGACGGTCTCACTCCAGGTGAACTCAGTGCACTCATCAGTAAGGTGGGTTAGTTTTTTATTAACTGCTCATGCAACCCCTTTCTTATATTATCACCCTTTATACTGAGATAAGTCAGTTTGTCCACTAGATGGCAGCTTAACTCTTTTTGGAGCCAATAGATGTGTTGTTATGTGACCCAGTGCAGCATATTATTCTTCCAGTCAGTTAGTGCTGTTTATTTTTATCTATCTACTTCTGCTCCTCTCTCACCTTGTTCATACCCAGAATGCCTTTGTGTGCATCTACTTGATAAACGGCTTCTCGCAGCTAATAGACCTGTCAACGACTCTGTCAGATGTGGCGGGATACACCCACAGGTATCGCCCTGCATGCTTGACGACAGATCTTTGTCAGTGGCGTTTTGTTGGTTTTGAATGTGTGCTGTGGTCAGGATCGGGGAGCTGAGGGAGGTGATGGATGACATCCTTCGCAAGCAGTGCGATTATGACCCTGCATCTGGGGAGAGCTACGACTTTGACAGGTTAGACCAAGCGGTTTTACACAAACACAGTGAAAGACATAGAGTGCAAATATTCTGTAGAAAAACTAACCAGCGTTTTTTTCCCCCAGTGACTTTAATGTCCATGCGGGTCCTGTGGACACCGCCTTCATCCTGGACCACCTTTCGTATAAATCTCCATACTCAGACCAGCTCCTGGTTGAAGATCTGAGTCTAAAAATCAGCCAGGGCACTCATCTGCTGGTGGTGGGGAACACAGGCACAGGGAAGACGTCGCTATTAAGGGTCCTCAACCGTCTCTGGGAAGCACACAGCGGTGAGAAAACAGGGAGCCTGAGGCAGCGTTTTCTCATGCATAGAACCGTTAGTATATTCAAATAAGTGCTTGCTGTAACTAGTCCTGCAATGGAAACGATTCGTGTGCATTTAAGTCATATAAGCGATAAAGATTTAACATAGGAATTCTTGTTTTGCCATATCTTGATCATCACTTAAAACTCACTGATAAGTAATAGAATAATATTTTAAAGCAACAGACAGGTATTGCAGGCTAACAAAGAACCCAATGCCTGCCCATTCTTAAGGGGCAGATCCGGTTCAATTTGCATGTTTTCTAAACCAAAACAAGCTTTTTTTAACGGTCCACTCTATAAAGCCTCAAACTCAACTCTATTTCTGATTTTTTTTAATTGAAAAAGCTTCCTGGATGGGTAACAAAACTTCCTCAAACTTGGAAACAAGTCTGGTTGATTGATTTTTAACTTTTTTGGAATAATGCAAAAGATGTTACTATAATAACACAACCCTTTAATTAAAGGATAATAGGAGTAGAAGGTTTTTAGCAACCTTAAAGCTCCCAGAATCATAATTTATTATTATTATTTTCTTAATCTGTTTCCTTTGCAAGTGGGACATGAGGCCAGTACCGTAGATCTATAGTATTTTGAATATCCGTAAAATTTGCACGTGAGGAAAATAGGGTGATTTAACGTTTTACAAACACTGTTTATCATGTATTGATATATATTTAGGTTGCAGTCAATGTGTTAAGCTGTAGTCTTGCTCAGGATTTTCAGTGTAATATAAACTGGAGGCAAGGTAAGTTTATTGAAACAACGAAGGTCAAATAGGTCTTGCAAATATAATTTTAATTTGAATCCTTACTTTTAGTTTTATAGATCAACAGTAAACAAACATGCAGAATGTTCATGAACAAGGTTTTTAATTAGATTCTTAATCACATAGATTCAAAAAAGCTTATGATTTTTCCTTAATAAAACAAAAGGGTTTGTTTTTATCTTTATACCCAGGATATGAGCCACTCTTAAAAAAAAACAACAAAAAAAAACACTTGCTCTTGAATACTTAAATGTATTGTTTGGCTCAAGAATGTTTTTTAAAATTTCTAGAGACTAAGTCATACTTATTGTCTTGTGGTTCATGGGGACAGCAGTCTCAGCAGATGTCCAGACTTATCTTTTCTGAGACATCTTCTCTGGCTACTCCAGGGAAGCCAGAGGCTTCCAGGGCCAGCTGAGAAGCATTGTCCCTCCTGGACGACCTCCTAGTGGGACCTACCTGGAACCCCTCCTGAGGGAAGCGTTCAGAGCCACCTAAGCTGGCTCTTCTTGATGTGGAGGAGTAGCTGCTCTACTTCGAGCCTCTGCAGATGGCCGAGCTCCTCACCCTCTATTAGGGTCCGGCCACAATCCAAAGAAAGCTCATTTGTATCTGTAGTGTCGTACTTTCAGTTATGACCCAAATTTCATGACTATAGTTGAAGGTAGGATTGTAGACCGACCTGTAAATCAGGAGCTTTCCCTTTTGGCTGAACTCTCTTTTCACCACAATAGACCTGTGAGACATCAATGAGCAGCACCGATCCGTCTGTTTATCTGCTGCTCTGTTGCCCTTTAACTTTTTAATTTAAAAGCCTGAATTTCACAGAGCGCTTTACATTAACCCTAACTCAAATCTTTGTATTCCCGCTGTAATGTCCAGCTAGAAATCCACTGATAAATCTGCTTGTTCTAGAAAAATATTGACTTTTGACTTGAAAAAGTCTCTTCCCTTCTCTTATGCTTGTAGGTTTTGTCCAAATGACTACGTGTTTTGGGCCTAGAGGAACCCTCTTCCTACCTCAGAAACCCTACATGACAGATGGGACTCTGCGTGAACAGGTCACTCCTCGCATGCTTCCTTAGACACAAACTCTTATGTACCCCGTATGTTTGTGTTGCCTCTCATTTATTGGAGTTCATTTGTTAAACAGGTGATTTACCCCCTGAAGGATATCTACCCTGCATCAGGTATATTATTATAATCAAAAAATTAACTATAACACTATACCAATACTGGAAAAAAATGGCTTATGGAATAAAAGCAAATAAAGGTCATATAATAGGGATGTTTGTTTTGTTGCAAAGCAATGCACATTAGTTTGGGTTGTCTATTTTATGTCTATATTCCAGCTTTATTAAAGTCTTTCTCAGCCTTGGTGCGTCTTTATGGTATCTTTATTATTTGGACTAATATTAGACAATGACATTTATAAAGTCTTATTTTCAGGGTCAGTGGATGATGACAGAATTATACAGTTCCTGGAACTAGCAGGAGTGGTGAGGACTAACTAAACTTTTGTGAGGTTGGCGGGATTATATTAAATAAACTCATTTTAACTCCAGCTTTGCTCATCTTACAGTCCAGCCTCCTGAAACGAGCTGGTGGTCTTGATGAGAAAGTGGACTGGAACTGGTATGAAGAACAAAGAAGAAAATAAAAGTGGATAAAAACAAAATACTAATGCAAACTTCCCTAACATTTATTTTTATTCCTGCAGGTATGATGTTCTATCTCCGGGTGAAATGCAGCGACTCTCCTTTGCACGACTCTTTTATCTGCAGCCAAAATATGCAGGTTGGTTTCTTTCGCGCTCTGCGCTGCATAATGATGCACTATGTGGACAGAAGTATTTGGTCACACTTGTGGAAATAAAATAATTGGAAATTATTTAAATCTAGCCACACAGTCGCCATTTGCAAGATGCAAAGTAAGCAATACTAAACAGCTTGTTGAAGTCTTATGAAATAGGACAATTTGTCATGGTTAACTGTCAGCTATGAGTGAGTGATAGAACAGAAAGCATTTAGGAACAATAAATCCACAATAAATTTAAAGACCACATAAAACGCAGAGCAGAAATATATATTTAAGAAAAGTTTTTTTACTTTCTTGCTTTGGATACCATGGTCTTGTCCACACTGAGCGCCCAATGGATGAACAAGCATGGGGACCCACATCAGTGTCTGACTTCATAAATGTTCTTCAGAATATTTGGAGACAAAATCCCTTTCAAGGACACTAATTTGGAAGCTCTTCCACAGAGAAAGGAAGCAATTGTACCTTAAAGTCATACCAACTTCTACTTATAGTGAATAAAGTAATGTTCAGGTGTGGCCAACTACTTTTGCCCAGTACCTGCATTCTGATACCTGACACTAAATGCCATTCTTTGTCAGGAAATGATTTTTTTTTTTTCCATGTACTTTACAGTTTTAGACGAAGCTACAAGTGCTCTAACGGAGGAAGCGGAGGCTCAACTGTACCGGACCTGTAAACAGCTAGGCATGACTTTAATCAGTCTGGGACACCGTAGCAGCCTTGAAAAGGTCTGTTGAACACTCATCAGATGTACTACTAACCTGTAAATTTAGCTTCAAATCAGACATTCTTTCTTCTAAATTTTCATTATTGTCCAGTTGTTTTACCTAAACGTATAGCATATTAGAAATAGAAAACGAGTTGAGGACAAAAACCAATCTAAAGGTAAGAAATACTGCCTGCAGCCCATAAACAGGCTGAAGTTTAGTTTTAGAGATCTAACACAGAAAGTAAGGGATGTATCATCAGTTGGGTAGAATTTACTCTATTCAGTTTTCTTCAGCTCTTTGGAAATTACCTTGTTGGTGCAAAATAGAATCAGCACCACTTATAATAACGCTGACATTTAGGTCTCTCAGATTATCTTTATCTGATCCTAATCCCAGTCTAGCATCCACTCAGAAAAAAAGCAAAATTCTGCAGCAAAAAAAATTAGAGCCCTCTAAACAGGCCGTTCCACCGCATCGACCAGAGAACTGACGGTTTCTTATTTAAATATTTTTTCAGCAGTGTACAGAAACTGTGCTCCCTTACAATAAATCCTGTATGTGATGGAGGAGCAGTGCATCCAAGCCTTCCTAAATCAAAAACTGTGCCTAACTTTGACAATTTAGAAACGTCTAAAGGGCAGAAAAGGACATCAAGTTCAGGGAAAAGAATTCATTACAGCATAACAAATGGTAATTTGAGAGAGGGGGATTAAAGCTCTTCTAAAGCCACTCTGTTTAAGTGGCCTTACCAAAAAATGTTTTAAGAAAACAGCATTCAAACTCCAATGTAGTCTGTTAAGGAAAGCAAGGAAGATAAATCAAAACCTTTATAAAAGAGAGGCTAACAACAGCAGTAAATCAACAGTTTAATATGATATGATGATGAAAATAATGTTTTATAACATCAACTGTTTCCATTATCTTTTGCCTTATCGTCCTTGTTGTCTTACTGAATTTAGTGTCTGCATCTCTAACACTGTACCATTCATCTTCTCAGTACCATGATATGCAACTGAAGCTTTGTGGAGAAGGCCAGTGGGAGTTGACCAAGTTAAAAGGAACCAGTGGGTCCCTCAGCCTCAGACCAGAAGCCACATGAACACCCGGACATTTAGGAAAAGAGCCAGAGGACCAAAAGTTCCTTTAATAGAACTTCTTTTTTAATCACTTTAATACTTTTAAACCTCTAACAGCTCAGCTGGGTAGTCTGGAAAAAGACAGATCAAATAGTTTTGACTATTTATTTTATATTCTGAGACAATGATCAGTTTTTTGTTTTTAATAAGGAAGGAATGTAGTAATTTAATTAACAGAATAATGGTTTAAAAGCTGAATGTTCAAAAACTGGATGAAAACAAAGTTGTTGTTTTTTTTTATTGTGTTAAAAATCACAAAGAAAAACACTTTTCTTCAGTATGTGCATTAATGTGAAATAACACAATTGTTACACTCATTAAAAGATTGTAGATTTCACAGTTTTAAAAATAAGATTAGTGGATTGTTGATTGAAAAATAACCCATTTATCAATAAAGTAATACATTTGGTCATTAAAATAGTTTTTTTAAAGGCACGTGTGTTACTGTGTATATGAAATAATGTGCAAGTTCTCCTTCGCAGCCTTCTTATAAGACAGCTGCTCCAATGGTTTTTATTTACTTAAGAGCTTTTCATGGCCTTTGATGATCTCCTGGACTGCTGCAGGGTCGTCCAGCGTGCTCAGGTCACCCAAACTGTCCAGGTCACACTCCACTACTTTTCGCAGAACGCGGCGCATAATCTTCCCCGAACGTGTCTTCGGCAGCCGTTTAGCAAACTGCAGCAAAAAGATATGATAATGGATACTGAGTAAAGCCAGTTTCAAATATAAATTTGCAATTTTTAAACCATCAGAGAGCTGAAATACCTGAACAAATTCAGGACAAGCATATTTGGCAATCTTTTCAGACACCATGTTGTTCAGTTGCTTGGAGATATCAGCCTCCTGTATGTCTACACCCTTTTTCAGGACCACAAATGCATAAACTCCTGGCAAATCAGAATAGAATGGTCTTTATATCAGTTTTAATTCTACGAAAAAATGTTTAATTCAGTTTATGCTGAAATATGCTGAGGCTGCCATGCTTATTGACATTACTGGTAAAGATGTTTAAAAAGCTGTAGCATTATGAAGATTTCATTTTTGGAAAAATCATGATTTTTTTTCACCAATCCACTCCTTGGGTATCAGTAGCTCAGAGTGACATTAGTTTGTCACTGCACTGATAAACTGATAAACCAACTCACTGTGTGATAGCACCAGCTGCAACCATTTAGTGTGTTATATTTTCATTGTCTGTTGAGAAAAATAATTATTTAACAAGTTGAATTTTGTTGCTCTTTAAATTAAGGTCACATCTCAGAGGGAATGATTGCAATTAATTGGATTTGGTAGGGGAAAAATCCGAGATTAGATCTTAAAGCCATATTCCCAGCTCTAGGAATAGTTGATATTGCATGAAAAAAATTATTTCAACTAAACCAATTAATAGTTTTTCCCAGCTTTTGTTTTTTCCTTGCACAGAAAAGGTTTTAATCAACCTGGCTGTGATTTAAATAAATGTTCTCTGTGAAGTTCCTTAAAATAACACATTGTGGATTTGCTCTACATGAAACCTTAAAAAATTGCTTTTAAAAAAAAATTATCCTTTCTAAAAGTTACGCTGAATTTAAATAAGATCCTTTTTACAAGCTTGTCAAATAAGTTGGCAGTCCTAGTAAGCGATAAAAATAACAAGAGTCGTATTTTTTTTTGCTGAATGCCATTCTCACCACAATTGGGATTCTTACCCCCCAAATTTGTTAACAATGAAAGCATCTATTTGCAACTAGTAATATTACACAATCAGCTACTTGATCTAAATCACAAGCTGTCATGTTTTTTGGTGAAAAAACAAGATTTTTGGATATTAAATCTTTTAAATAGTAAATTCTACCATTTCCTTTTTTAATTAGCCAGCCCTACTTTATTATGCAGCAGCGTTCACTCACGCTGACCTGACCGGTTCCAGAATGGCAACCCAACCCAGTTTGTTTATTTCTAACTTTGTGTTCTACTTTTATTTATTCTACTTGAGTGTTAACTGAAGTAATCCATTAATTCTAGTTTTGTCTATGCAATAAATAAATAAAATAATGATAGATTCATTTTAAAAGTGGGAAATACAAAAAAAAGATGCTATTCAAGCAAGACACATCGATAACAAAGCTACTTTACTGAACTCTTAATTTTCTGAACTCTTGTTGTATCTACAGTAAAATAAATCATTCAAAAATATGCAGAAAAATTTAGTTTAATCTATTAAGTTCTTAAATCTTTACCAAAAGTGGGAGCAAATGTGAAGGAAAGCTGTGGTACTTGCCTTGGCCTTTAATGCTATGAGAGTATCCTATGACGGCAGATTCGGCCACTGCAGGGCACTGATTCTGTCACAAACATAAAATACAAGTTTCGTTTTATATTTTGTAGAGCGAAGAAGTGTTTTTGAAAAACTCACATCTATCTGGCTCATTATCTCTTTTATTGACACAGGAATTGCTATTACTTCGTTTTTTCTTTAAAACTAATAAAAACAGCTCATGTTAACAATAAAAAGGGTATTTCATTTTAAGTAGAACTGAACAGACTTATGTCATTTTTTAATAAAACAAAAACAATATTCAAATTTGTTACAATTTCCCTAAATAATATTTGAGAGTTTTAAGTATATTAACAGGGAACTCACCACTACATCCTCTATCTCTGCTGTCCCAATCCTGTGGCCGCTGACATTAATGACATCATCGAGACGCCCTGTGATCTGGTAGTAACCCTTCTCTGAACGATAGGCTCCATCACCGGTAAAGAAGTAACCTACAATTTTGTTAGAAATAAATGTTTTTTTGTAGAAAAAAGGGGCTTTTTGCTCCTGAACCCATTAAGGGTTACCTGGATAAGGTTGGAAGTAGGTCTCAATGAATCTCTGGTGGTTGTTATGAATGGTCCTTGCCATGCCGGGCCAGGGCTGAGCCATACACAGAGCTCCAGAGGTGTTATTAGAAGTCAGTACCTTGCCCTGAAATAACAAAAAAGCTAAATCTGTCGATGCACAACTAAGAGCATTGGTCAATTATATTCAGTTTCATTCAAATGGATTTAAATTAAACCAGAATTTGTGTAGATACTTTGCTGAGGCAAGGGGTTAACCTTAAGTAATGTAGCATAGCTGCTGTGAAGGGTAAAGTCGTTATTTAGTCTGTTTCCGCTGTGAAAGAGGAAGCTGAAACGTGTCGCTCCAACTGTCTGCACAATCTGTGCAAAAGAAGCCCCACTGGCAGCAGAACAGAGTGAGTGGCGGGTGAGAGCAGGGTGGGTATCAAAAGTGACACAGCTGGTGGTGACTGTTTTATAATCCTAATCTGACTGTTCCCCAGGCTTCTCCCAGCGATGCAACATTTGCGGGGGCAGGACACACACAGATGCTCATGCTGCAAAGCAGGTTACCTCAGTGTCCATAAGCACCGGCTTGATGCCAAAGAAGGGTCTCATGGCCATCCCAGGGACGATCTCTGCATCTGGTTCCGAGGGCTTTGGGGCGATGCAGATGCCCCCTGTTTCTGAGGTCAGAGTAAAAGACAGCAAAGAATACATGAATCCAGCTATAAATCTAAACAACATTCTAAAGATTTATTTTTCTACCACAGGATTACCAAACAAGTTCATTTTGATAGAAAACTAGGGTTATGGGGGGTGTACTTTGTTTTTTGTTTTAAAAAGGTTTTCATTTTCAGATGTTATATTTTACTACTTGGGCCACTGATTTATTTATTTATTTTTTGATGCATTGTTTCCCTATTATACCTAAAGACAGGGTTTTGTTTAAGCCGCTTTTAATTTAGTTATGCCTTCTTTCAACCAAATAGTTAAAAAACAAAATCTTTAATGGTGATTCTAACATGTAGTCAGGTTGTTTAGCAATCACTTTAACTTTTACATGAAAGCTGAATTAATAAAAAGTCCAAAGTAATTTATGATCAAACTATTGTGGTGCTTTATGTTTGCTGCTAACATAAAAAATGTGAACACCAGTATAAGTTATTTTACT